GCAATCTATTAAACATTTATCGCGATAAACAATGATAAAATTTCAAGAAAAAAATACGAATCATTGAAGCGTTTCAAATTAGGGATTAGAAGGTCGTCCAACGCCCTTCCGAGGTAATTTGCAGTTAAACGATCGGCCAGCGAACCGTTCGTGCTAGCTGATAGGCCGTCTAGACGCTCCGCCTCCTAAATAACATCCCCATTGAACCATGCTAGTCGCATTGTTGCAACATGGAACCACCATTTTCGAGCTTCAAGCTTACTTGAGATCTAGAGTTATTCAAAATATATATTTACTAGCGTTTTCCTGCGGCTCCGCCCGCATAGTATATTAATATCATATACTACCTTCTCTGAAACACGCTGCATCTTATGGTATGAGTATTATTCCGATCGGTTCAGTAGTTAACGCTACTGCGTTAACTACTGAACCGATCCGGTTATACTTAACCGGAAAAAAATCGGCTGTCCATTTATTAGTATAGATAAGTACAGACTCTATAAAGACATTCTTCCCAAGAGACATTAAACTTTCTGTACATAAAACAAAAAGCAAAATACGAGTACCACTCACTGATTAATCATGAAATCTCAGAGAGTAAATACTACAAACTTTTACAGCATTTATATTTTCATACATGGTTGATGGTGTGTATTCTAAAGGTGTAGGAAAATCCGTTTTTTTAAGTTAGTGACAAAATTGGTAATAATCTTTCTGATTACAAATAAGGATTATTCTCATTCAGAGGTTTTAGGTAGTACATTTTCTGGGGTTGAAAAATAAGGGATGATGTGAAACTTAAGAGCGGGAAAACGCTCGTTTAAGAGCGGGTAACGTCGAAAACACGCGTTTTCTCAGACATAAGACTAATCTAGATCGATTTATCGCCTCCGAAACCTTATGTGTACTAAATTTCATGAAAATCGTTGGAACCGTTTCCGAGGTTCAGATTATATATACATATATACAAGAATTGTTCGTTTAAAGATATAAGATATGTAGAACTTTATTAGTTTTTTTATGCTGTGTTGGGATTTTTCGACTGGCGTTTCTTACAACCAAATAGAAAGGTTTCATAATTAAGAGGCCTATTACATTTTGAACGTGATTTTTCAATTTAATGCCCATCTTTGGCGTTCTTATTCAGAGAAACTGAAACTCTTCGATAATTGTGACTTATTGTATGGTGGAGAATAGTTATTAATATAATTCATAGCGGCCTCGCTTTTCGCTAATTTTCATTAGTAATTGAAATAAAGCCAAAATTCCCAAGCAAGTTTTTAATAAAAGGCGCAACGGCACTTTTTCAACCTCGTGGATTGAAATAAACGAGTAGATAGTAAGTAAACGAGATGAAAAATAGTATATAATAATATTTCGTATATAGTGGTTGAGTTTATAGCGGCCTCGGAATTGGAAAATATGTATTAGATTTTTACAAAAAAAATTCTTTTCAAAATCTTAAAAACGTTCAGAATTAGCTGTAAAATATACTTACAACACTAATATTATTAAGTAAAATGTATACCAGAATACACGTCATTTCAAAAGAAATGCAATTACATACTTTTTTTTTAAATAATTTATTATAAAACTTTACATTAAAGTAATTACAACAGCAGAAAATGCTAAAAACAGCAATGCGTCAGCCGCTCGAACTCAATACCATAGAACTCATACATTTTATAATAGGCCTCTTAATACATGTTATTACAGATTCTTTTTTTTATAGAAATATAAAGTGGAAACCCGATTTGGTTTTTAAAAATGCCATACGATCTATGGATAGGTTAAAATGGGGTGACTGACCAATAAGCTCTAATTATTATTGATGCTTACTCTCCCCTACACTAGAACTCATCTAAACAAAATTGACCGCCGTCAATATTATAGAATTGGAACAAAAATCGAAGGGTGAGCAAATGGAAATGGAATGAAGATTGAAAACAAAAACTAAACATACTCGTAATACCATTGAATCGCTAGCCCTCTACCATATATTTGACGAAATTAAATATTTTGTATAAATAATATTACTGATAAATATTTACAAAATTTTCACAAGGTTTATTTATATGATAGATACATACCGTAAATCGTAAGGCATACCGAATATTTACTTTAGAGGTCATTTATTTTTGAACGGAAAACTACCTATCACAAAAATATTTTGATGTTAAATATTATATATTATGTAAGTTAAGGTGTTTCCTTTGAGTTACTTAGACAAATAGATTTTTAATATGTAATAAGTTCAAATTTGTGTTGTCTGAACAACTAGTCTGTAATTATTTTTTAAATATATTTGCCTGTAAATTTCATCATAATCTCTCCAGCCGTTTTGGAGTCCATAGGAAACATACTAACACACATCGACTTTTATATTATATAGATATAATAACACATCTTGTTGTTAAATTAGAACTGCTCTATTAGTTTATCCTGTATAAATAATTCTATTTATGACCTATCAGAGTAGTTATCCTTTCTGATGTAAAACATGACCGTAAACAAACTTCCGTCCTTCTTTCCTTATTTATGTTGTAGCGTTCTCTGGTCTAAACACGTGGCGCCATGCAGTGATAATCGGATGAACTAAAGTATTGAGTTCTTGTACTTCATATTTTGTTATTACAAAATCTGCTTCCGGTTTATATATTTTTAACTAGACATTACAGTTTATGTAATAAAATAATTATTATTATAGCGGGGAGCAGAAAATATTACTAAATATTACATTTTAATTGTTTTTGTTACTATGGCGTAAAAAGTTACATTAAAAATTGTTAATCCTTTCTAAAGTAGTTTAGTTGAATGGTGTAGTGTTATAAAAATATTTTTTAATGACTCAGTCCTCGTTACATAGGTAGTGTTATATATGCTTATGTGCTCAGCTCATTAGTGTTAATTTTAGTTGTCAGATCATTATGGGGAAGCGTAATAATTTATTTTTCTTTCTTGCCTTTCGGTGAAGCAAAACATCGTGAGGAAACCTGAGAAAATCTAGCAAGTTTTTGAAAGACATGTCAGGATGGCCTGATCCCCCTCGTATTGAATGGAGACCTATGCTCAACAGTGGGACATTAAAAAGGGCTGAATACAATACAATTCTTGTATATTTATTTTGTGTATCTCTGAAACTGCTCTGACAATTTGGATCAAATTTTGTATTTAGATAAGGTTTTTTCTTTTAAGTTTTACTATACACATTTAACTTTTCTGAAACGCATTATTTCAAAAAAAAACATTTTTTTAAAACTAATTATAAACTATTAAGAGATTTTTTCTATATGTTCTCATGTTGATATTGTCATATAGCGCCATCTCGTTAGATTTTGTAGCATTTGCATTGTTGATTCACGATTGTCGCCACTGGATGACAACCCACTAAACGAACCCTTACGTCGCTCGGTCGTCCAGATATACGTATTTCTACCGTTAACTGGCAATGGAGTTATATTTTTCAATTTTTGTCATCACTCATCTCAAAAAAATATTTTATTGTGTGGAATGTGACATCAAATCAAACGAAAGTCAGAGTATTTTTAAATTATGTCAATACATATGCAAATGTTTCTTTAAAGCATACTTATATCTTCATTCTAAGTTTTAATTACATTTCATTGAAATTAAAACAAAAATGAGCATAAATTAAATAAATAAAATGTGTTAGAACATTAACACACAGCACCATCTAGTTCTACGGTAAGCTACGAGGCTTGAGTTGTTTGATACCTATTAGCTACAATGGACCATAACTGGTCGACTTAGCCAGGGCCGACCTCGGAATCACATCCAATACAATAATATGGATACCTATGATATGTATATGTTGATATACTACACATACATATTTAACTTTAAATACATACATATTATCAATATAAACACCCAAGACTGGAGTACATACATTGGTGCTCATAACACAAATGAATGCCCTTAGCGGGACTCGAACCCGCTGCCGCTGGCCCAGCAAGTAGGGTCACTAAAAACTGTGCCAAAAGTGTCATCAAATTATGAAAGTTCAAGAAGTTGACTTAGTCTTACGTAACAATGTGATTTGCTTTTATTAGAAACAGTCTAGAATTGATTTTATAACACATGCTTTTTCATAATTTTATTTATTAACAATTAACAACTTCTTAAGGAGAGTTACATAATTTCAAAAAAATAAATAACAGCTGTAATCTTTTAAAAAAATTACAAGTTTGAAAATGCGTCACCAGATCGCCTTCTAGTGTTAATTCAATAACTGGTTGTTTTTGTAAAATGGCAGTGAATATTTTAAACCTTTGGTTATTAGTTTCCATGTAACGTAAATAATACAAGATTTAACATTTTTGTTTGTTACTGCAAAATTACTGCATCATCTGTACTAGGTACTACTCAATATTATAAACATGTCCGATATGAAAACAGTTCTGAAAATGTACTGTTTAGGTAGGCATTATAAATATACTAGCGACTCACCCTCGCTCTGCTCGGGTTCGTCCCTACTTACGTTTTAATGTTTAGTATAGATTCCTCAGATATTAGATATATTCTTGCAGTAAAAAATATTTATGTTGACCCGGATAACCAGCTATCATCATACAAAATTTTATCAAAATCCCTTCTGTAGTTTTACCGTGATGCGGTAACAGACAGACAGACAAAAACTCTAAAAACTATAGATTCAGCCTCTGCATCGATAATATGTCTACTTCAGTAAGATTTTGTTAAAAATATTTTACTATATTTATAGATAAAAATTAAATTTTATACATTGAAATGCAATTTTGGTTATAGTTTTAACTTTATTTTTTGTTTTTTAGATTTTTAAACTTTATTTTTTGTTTTTTAGATTTTTATAATCATAAGTTTTCGCTAGTATCAATATTAATATTTAATGATAATGAAATATTGTAATTTTTATTTATAATCTATATTACCTTTGTAGTGATTTACAATGTAACAATAATAATCTATATTTAACAACCCTTTATCGAGTATAAAACTTAAACAATTTGATGGTTCTTATCAAAACTTTGCATTTCATATTTCGCAATCACATTGCACACTTCCATTTTCACTTTGGGTATCAAGTTTGGTTGTAATTTTTTTACACATGCCGCCATACTTCTAAAGAATATATCAATCTCATTTGTATTTTCTTTTAACACTTTTTCTATTAATTTATCTATTGCTTCTGTTCGTTGTTCAGGTGATTTTGACTCTTCCACACGTTTGATTATTCTAGGTTCACCCATAACTACAGGTTTAGGCAATATTTTAATAGGTGCAATATTTCTAGGCACTGGTACTGATTTCTTTCTTCCTGCATTCTTTCTGCCTACTTTTTTAGGTGGTACTTTATCTGTAGCATCAGTAGATTCAAGTTTAATTTTTTTTGATTCTATTTTTATTATTTGAGGTAATTTCATTTCAGTGTCTTGATTAGGCCCATCAACTAACGTAATCTGTAGAGATAGATATAAAAACAAGGTAATTCTTATAAATACCAATAGAATAAATAGCATATTTTAAGTTGTCTAATCTGTATTTAAAAAATGTCATTTCTATGTATACATGTAATTATATAAAGATTATAACGTACCTCATAGTACTCCTGATTATCCGTTATGACATTGTTCTGTTCAGTTGTAATTTGTTCTTCCTGTATCTGACCATCAGCCTCTAACACTTCCTCAACTTCCTGTTTTTTATATCCTACGTCCAATGGCATGTTATCTAAAGGCATACTGTCCAAAAACTGTAATTTTTCAAATATAGGTACTTTGGACTTGTGCACAGCACCCATCCTTTTATTCCTCGTATATCCATCGCGAAGACCTCGCCACCGTTTCTTGCATTCTTCAACTGTAATATAGGAAATAACAGAATTTTAAACTTATTTAATCATACTAAATAAATTAACGGCGATAAATTAATTATGGTATAAAATTGTGTGCACTAATTTAACAGCTGTTAAAATTAGTAACTTTCATTAAGACAATTACCTACAGTGACCGTTTTTTTTTATATGTAGTAGTTTCATAAATCGCACTACACTTATAATATTCAAGAATTGAATTCATTCAACAGTAATAAGTAATATATTTTATATTTAAAATGATCGCTACTCGCAAGACGATACAAAACATTACCTTCAGGTGTCAAAACACAAAAGTCAAAATGTCTTTGTTCTCTGCAGGAGCGTTGTGCAGCACAAAGCTAACCAATACACAATCCGATCTTACACTTACCCGGTTTGAATAATTCGTTTGCGATTTCTTGCCACGTCCTTTCACGGGTCAAAATATTCTTCCTCGAGGGGTCTAGCCAATAATATAGATGTGTGTGTGGTTGTACTAATTGGATTAATTTCTCCTCTTCTTCGGTCGTCCAGCCCGCGGCATTCAATGGCATTTTCTTCTGTGAACTTGCGTCACAAAATCAAAACAAAATGTCGACTGCCTATCACGAACGAAAATACTCGCGCTGCGCAGCACGACGTCATAAACTACGGGTGTTTATTGCTATGGTTCGCTTCCGACGCCATTACTTGCCTCTGATTGGTTGATATAGTTGTATTGACGTAGACATTATTCATGCGATTTCAGAACCATCTATGTTGAAATAAAGGATATAATTGTTTTACCCCATCTAGCGGTGAGTAGCGGTAAATAGTTTTTGGTTTAGTGTTTTATTTGTCATCCATGGTTTAGTGTGACTAGTAACCTAGATGTGCCCATAGATGTCGCTACATAAACGTATTTCAAAATATAGTTTACAGGTATAAGAAAATCTAACAAATCGGATAAAGCTATATGCAATACTTTCAAGTAATAATGCAATAGTTTCAGTAAAGAAAAAAAAATCCAAAATGAATGTCCAAATGTAATAACTTGAAATTTGTGCTCCAATCGCGTGGTTTTGTTTATTTTGGCAAAATATTTTGGATAAATTCTACAAACTGAAACGGAAAATACGCACGCAGATCTATTCTAACTACCTACTATATTCCGTACTGTCTCGTCTCCTCAGTGACTTAGAAATATCGGAAACCAAAAATATAATGTCGATGACATCGAAACTTTTACCGTTTATGGCGGTGCATAAAATGTGTTTTATAACAAATTATTTTATAATGCTATTATTTTGAACAATCACAGATTAAATAATACTGTGCTAGGAAAGCCTTACCCGTAGGTACTACATATACCTATGTGACAATTTTCACACAAAGAATAAATTGAAAGAAGAAAAAATACGTTTCCCATTAAATTTTATGAATTTTATACCGTAAGAAAACACAGTACTATACTAGTTTACAATACATATTTTAAAAATAAATAAACGGTAAAAGGAATTTTGATATTTATTTCTTCAGAGAATAAAAGTAAAAAGCTCTACATAAAAAAAAATGATAAGCATGTTCAATAGGAATGATGTGGAATGTAATTTATTTTTATTTAATTAGAACAAGACGGACTGCATTGGGTTTCCTTTGAAGTTTAAAGACGTCTGAAATTATTTTAACGTTATGTAATAGGTACATATAATGAGTGTATCAATCTTATTGATATTCATCTTTGAACCTATTATTTACTAAAGTAAGAGAAGATTGTGTTGTGCAGGTTTAATGATTATTATGGTAAAGCACTTATAAGAAGTATAAGTAGTTCTTACAAATATAATAGCTGGGCTTACAATCTATACTTATTACTTATAATAATATAAAGATGCAGAGTTTGTTTGTTTGAACGAGCTAATCTAAGGAAATACTAATTCGATTTGACAAATTCTTTATGCATTAAATAGCCCGGTTATTGAAGAAGGCTGTATGCTATATAGTATATAGGTATGTATCATATAATATAAGGTAGTGTATCTATTTCACACTAACTACCAAAACTACTAACTAACTGTTAAAACTTACCTAGGTACGAACCCGAGCGAAGCGAGGGTAAATCGCTGGTATATAATAATTTATGTATTACTGATTTTATTGGTAACACGTTCGGAAAACCGAGTAAAGCGGGTGCAAATCTGGGTCACGCAACACTGAGATTTTTATTCAATGATCAATCTCATTTTCAATATGGTTGAGAGAATCTAACTAGCTTTCGAAAGATGCCAGTCAGCGTTTGTCAAACGCATGATGTGTATGTTATTTATTAGCGTTTGTTCGCGGCGTCGCTTGCGTAAATTATTTTTGTATGTTTAATTGCCGCGCTTTTAAAGGACGTAGAATGATGTTAAATAAAACTTTTAGCTTTATATATAAAGTATCTTATAATATTACGTGAGCAGTTCTTGTATATAATAAGTATATACATTTTTTCGTATATCTCTAGAATAGCTAATCTAATGATTTATATCAAATTTTGTGTTTAGATAAGGATTTTCTTTTTAAGTTTATCTATATGGCCTATGGGTGGGTCTTTTCTGAAAAAATCGATTTTTTCATATCTTTTGCGAAAAAACGCGAGGAATAAAGCTCGGTGGCCCAGGCAGGTACTATTAAGTGCCTATATATGTAAAATCTTAAAGCTGCCTTAGTTGTAAGTGTTGTTCTGGAATTGAATCTGTAAACTCCGGCGTAGGAAGCACTGCGTGACTGTTACTAGACATTTTTACTTTTCTTAATAGAAACATTGGTATTTGGGATAGAATAACCTCTTAAAACGATTAAGCTATTAATTAATGCCACTGAACACATAAATAGCGGGGTTAAGTGGTCGCGGTCGTCTTTTGTTTGGAGTTTAAAACGAGTGGCTCGATTACTTTATTAGAGTTTATTAACAATCGATTGTAGTTCGACGCGGGGGAAAGACGTAATGACGTCACTTAAACGATATTTTAGATTATACTTCCTTTGTTACTGTTATTTTTATTAATTCTGTTGAACCTTCTTTGATCATTGTAGTGAATTATTCAATTTCTTTTACTTTAGATGTTTTGTTTTTTATTTTACCTTTATTTTTAATAGGGTAATTTTTTTTGTATTTATGGTGTTTTTTGTAAGTTTGTTCCTATTTAAAAATGTCTTCTTATAATTTTTATTTATCGATGATTCTTTAAATCAAGTCTGACATGGCCCCTTTAGGAAATGTTATTTAGTTTTTTTTAATCTAATATAACTTTTAAGAGAATTCCACTTTTTTGCGAAATTTGTGGTTACCTTTGAGCCTCTAATGATGAACGTGTTAGTTTAATGTAAAACAGGTACCTATAATCATTAATTGTTTAACCAGTTTTGAGCCCTATTGTATAAAAAAATAAAGGAGAAACCCATTTTAGGGCCTTACGTTCCACGAACCATATAAAAAAAAAACAACTTTTTTTAATACCCTGTTGAAAAACTCCAATAGAATCCTATCAAAAGCGACAAAAGCCACATAGAAACCAATAAATATTTATTGGTTTCTAATTTCTATGTGGCTTTTGTCGCTTTTGATAGGATCCTATTGGAGTTTTTAAATAGGGTATCTCATTAGGTACACCTCTGTCTTAATGGCAATGACAAAGAGAAGAATATTGTTATTGAATTTTGCGATATGATGAAAAATGTAAGCTAAAAATTATGCATATAAAACTTGATTTTACTAACTTGGCTATTGCTAGTTTGTATGGGGAGTGGTTTTCTCCTTTTGTTAGTTGTATATGATGGCTCTATCGGTATATTTGTTTCTACATTAATCCTCGTGGGTTCGAGTCCCAAGTCGAGTCTCTGGGTAAATGTTAAAGATTTGAAGGCTTTTTTATTTTCTAAATGTATAATCCTTCGGTTTTAGTTAAAAATTTAAAGTTGAATTTTATTCAAAAATAAAATATTAGGTTTAAAATAAAAGTTTAAAGTTTGAAAAATAATTAAGTATTTCATTTTAAAGGTAGAAATTGCTGAAAATTTTTAGTAAAATATTAGTCTTTGGACACATTTGCTTCTGTCTTACTTTATTATAGGCCATTGTGTAATACAAAACCTAACATATCTAACAACTTTAGCATGAAAAGGGATAATCTATTTGGCGAAGTGGAAACAGACCATCATCTTATCTCTGCGGTAACTGTTCTACCTATTATAACGTCTCGTAGTGGATGTAGGAAATCCGTAATTTTCAAACATTGTTGTTGTCGAGTCCATTGCTCCACATTGCAACTGTCAGTCGGACAAAATTATAACGTACCTGCCTACTACATAAATAAAGACAAGTTCTGGTTTTCTATAATTTGTAATAAATAATACTTAACCCTACTTATATTATAAATGGGAAAGTTTGTGAGGGTGGATGGATCGATGTTTGTTACCCTTTCCCGCCAGAACGGCTGAACGGATCTGGATGAAATTTGGCACAGAGATAGATTATAATCTATTATAGCAAATAGGTTACTTTTTATCTCGGAAAAATGTATAGTTCCCGTGGGATAGATTTGTTTTTGTCTAGGGATGAATTCGAAGCGAAGCGAGAGTTAGTCGCTAGTTATATGTAATGCCTACTAATGCTTATATATAATCTGTTTTAATAGTGAATAATGATTGTAAACGTTTTAAATTTGTTACAAAAAGATGTTATCATTATCATATAAAAAACGACCGATATGTACATATTGTCTGTGATTATGTATTATTGTGTGATTATACCTTACACCGTGTCTAGTGTCTACCTATCTGTCGTACCACTTAATTATGTAAAGTATTCAAATTAAATATAATAATAATAAATATATTGGGACATTTAACACACATCACCATCTAGTCCCATGGTAAGCTACGAGGCCTGTGTTATGGATACCAGATAGTTGATACACTACACATATATAACTTTTAACTACATACATACATATATAAATATAAACAAACACCCATGACTGCAGTACAAACATTTGTGCTCATTACACAAGTTAATGCCCCCAGCGGGACTCGAACCCGCGACCGCTAGCATGACAAGTAGGGTAACTACAAATTGAGCCAAACGTGTCGTCGAAAAATATAAATATTAATACCAGTATGCTTATTGAGATGCTAATTATTTTCATAAAATAAGTGACTAAAATTAAACAAACGTACACAGATGTTAAAATACATTTATATTTGAAAATAATAATTGAAAAGTACTTTGCTCACTGTATTTTTTTGTATAAAACTTTTGGTAGAAATCTTGTTATTTATTTTTGGTTTTAGTAAAGCTCACAATGTATGTAGATACTTCACATAAAAACTCCTTTCTCACGTCCTTACATCGTTTTCCATAAGTCTAAATTCGCAATCGACATAGTAATTTATACCGGCGTTGCGTCCGACTTTGCAGCTGACAGATTAATCGCCGCAGCCGTCGCTACCACAATAGTTTCAAATTGACCACTATTATTGTATTAACAAGTCGTTCGATCGCTTGAAGTATTTATGTATTCGTAAACTGTTA